TAAAATGACACGTGTAGAAAAGTGAATGGTGACTCTCAGATGACTCATGCTGTGTGGCTCACCAGGTCCCAGCAGGTCCTTTCTCCAGCAGACTCTGTAGCAGGCCCCCACTTTTCTGAAGACAAGCCCAAAGGTGTAATGGCACCTAATAGAGGGTCCTCCTCTGTAGAAGTCGGAAAGATGGAAAAGTGTTTCTGGAGGAATAACTGCTGACTCTTACTCAGTACTGTGGCATCTCTGATTCTAGGTGTATCTTCACATCTAGAGCACATGATAGCCATGTGTGGTGCCATGCAGCACAATTGAAGATTTTGTGCCTTGAGTCACTGTTAATCTCCAGTTATCAACAAGTCTCCTGAAGGATTTGTGAAGCCCCAGTATTTACTCACCATATTAAAAATTAAAAGGGGGATTGATGTTGTTTTGAGACAGGGTCTCACTGTGTAGCCTTGGCTGGCCAGGAACTCACTTTATAGAGTAGAGTAGGCTGGCCTAGCTGGTGCTAAGATTGCAGGTGTGTGCCACCATGCCCAGCTTGGTCTCTTCTTTATAAAGAGTTTATTTACCTCACAGTCTTAGAGAGTGAAAGTCCAAATTGCATCTCGTTACAGTGGAAGTGTGTATGTCTTGTCTGTTTTCTATTTCTTGTGATGCCACAAGCCACATGATCTCTGGAAAACTCCAGGGGACACTCATGAGAGGATGAAGGTGAAAAGGGTCATGGAATGCAGCCAGTGGGGTAGTTCAGTGACCAGAGATACTTGCCACCAAGCTTGATGACTTGAATTTGGTCCCTGGAGCCAATGTATAGGTGAAAGAAGAGAGTGAACTGCACAAATTCATTCCCTGGCCTCCACACGAGGGCCATGCACGCATACTCCCTGCCCCCACATAATATATACTACATTTTTAAAAGAAGGACAAAGTCAAGAGTCCCACTTTACTGTGAAAATGGGTTCCAGCTTCAGGCTCTCTGGAGAGGTCTGAGGGACCCCTTTCCCAGTGGACCTGTAGACCATGCTGAGGGAACTACTGGAGACCAGTGCACACTGGGTTAAAAGGTTCACTGTCTAGAGTGAGATACTTGCCTACCAAGTAGCCTCAAAAGCACCGTGTCACCTGGCTCCAGATGTGTTATCTACTTGCTGGCCCTGTGGTTCCTGTTGAGCCTGTCTTACAGGGTCATTTCTAGGCTCATGCCTTTGAGGCCTCTCTCCCCCAAACCAAAGCTGTGTATTTATAAACAGCATCACCAAGGAGCCTTTGAAGTACATGTCATGTCTGATATGTAGGACAGTTATTTTTAAAAAGCTGACATCCTGTCGCTGTGCCCCGATTCTGGGGACACCTCCATGAAGCCATTCATTATTCTCAGTTTACAAGTGAGGTAGTAGAGGCTTTGATAAGCTGAATGGCCAGAAAGCAGAGACTTGTCCCCAGTATGTAACACTGGCATGCTGTTCCTGAGGCTGGCTGGCTCTGGATGGCTTAGCTGGAGTTCTTATTCTATGCGGGGCTGTGTTTTTGACACACTGACACATTCAAACAGAGAGATCGCCAATGTCAGCAATTTTCTGCTTAAATAAATTACCCTCCACGTGAGTCACCTAAGTTGAAGATCTAAGACAACATACAGAGGGAACTAGTTTAGAATTCCCTTGTAGTGCAGATTTTTAAGTCAGCTGGATTGCTGGGTGTGGGGGCACACGCCTATTAACACCAGGAACTTAACTAGAGTAAATTCCTGGCCAACCCGGGGCTTTACCGCAAACCAACTCAAAACAGCAGATTACCTGGAATTGTAAATGGCTTGCTTTGGAGGAGGGGTGAGTTTAAACTGGCCTTGAACTCCAGATCCTGCTGCCTCTACCTCCCAGGAGCTGGACTTACTCGCATGCCCACCCAGGACCAATGACTCGTGTGTTTTGAGAGTAAAGACCTGCCCATCGTCTGGAGGCGTTTGTCCTTATGAATTACCCATCTCCACGGATCATTTCCCAGAAAAAACAATGTTCTGTGCACTCAAGTATCCCTACTTCACTTTGGAGGATCATTCGACTGTGACGTAGGTGACAAGGAACCGCAGTGAGGGCTTTTCTTTACTAGGGGATGGAGCAGAAGGCACCAGTCTGTGGCAACCAGCTGTTCAGATAGTATTTAAGGAAATCTTTTTAGTTCAGTTCAATCTCAGTTCAGTCAACTGAGCTCCAGAGGCAGAAGTCCTAATTACAGTGCTGAGCTGGGGGTTGGATGCAGATTGGCCTTCCTCTCCCTACCCACTGACATGTAGCCAAATAGTAACTAACTAAAGGTCTCTGGTTCAGTCTCATGGTTTTTAAAGGTCCACTTGAATTGCATTTATTAGAAGTTCAATTCCAGATCATTTGGATGAAACAGAAAGCGAGGGTGAAGGAGGCAGTGGGGGGTGCCTTAGGTGAGAGAGCAGTAGATCAGGGGCTGCTGGGACCCTCTACCATACCTCCATCGCCTTTCCCAGGGTTCCAGAGTGACAGTTCAGAGTTATGCCATGCTTCCGTCCATCCTGTTAGCCACGTCTTTGGGGAAGTCCCTTTTGCTAAGCTTCAGAAACTCTTTAGGATGAAGTCTCATTCGTTCTGATGCTTAGACCTTTCTCCACAATCCCTGTGGTTGGGAATATCATTGCTGACTGGCCAGGCTCAGTCACTTGACCATTCTTGGGCCCAGAGTCACTCTGTCAGAGGCTGAGTCCTGGGGTTGAGGCTGTTAGGTAGGGCAGGTGGGAAAGATTTTGGTTTGTCGGCTCCTATACCTCAGTACTTTGGGGAAATTGTTAGTCAGGTAGACACGATTTCTGGCAAAATTAAGAACTAGATCACGCTACCCCCTCCACTAACAACTGGAGTGGAAGTGGGAGCTGTTCCTGACTATGTTCCCTGCCTGTGGCTCCTGTTCTTTTAACTGTAACTGTTTAACTGTAGCTTGGGCTACAGAGGGATGCCTCAGTGGGAGAGGGTGTGCTGGTCCAGCAGTGAGGGGAGGGGAGGGGCTATGTGAGGGGGGTATTGGGTGGAGAGGCGGGGCTGCTACCCAGATGTAGAGTGAATAATTCAATAAATTGGTGGTAAAAAAAAATGGTAGATAACTTTGTCTCAGGAAAGATGAACCTGTTAGCTATGGCTACTTTATGACTAGGTGTGTGGTGGCTGGATGGAGCCAATCATGTAATACCTAGGTGTATAGCTCATTGTTGGGAAAACGTGATTATTAGACCTGTCTCTTGCCCACTACCCCTACCCCCATCCTTGTGCTCTTGAATATAGAGAGTCTTGAAAGGGTGTTATCCAGGCTGGTAGACCCAGAAATACTACCCAAGGCATCTTCAGAAATACTCAAAACCCTGTGACAGTTTGATAAGTTCCAAATATGATCAGGCCGTTTTCCTGAAATCCATCACAAACTGTGATCCCAGCTTCCCTGGGAGGCTAAGGCAGGAGGGTTATGAGTTCAAGGTCAGCTTGGGCTACAGAGGGAGATCCTGTCTCCAGAAGCAGAAAAAAAAAAAAAAAACCCACCAACCAACTCTACTATCCCTCCCCAGCATGGGTGATGACTCACAGAATCTGGAGCTGAGCTGGATGAAGAACTTGCAGACAGCATCTGAGGACGACGCCAGCCCTCACTTGGGGCTTATGTAACCAAGGGCAGGGCTTGATCCTATAACGTTCTGGGTACCCTGCACTGTGAAAGCTTGTGGACTTCCTGAGTCTTAGTCTTAGGAAATTCCCATTTCCCTCCAGGAGGAGAGAGCTGGATACAACACAAAACCCCTGATGACTGAGACCTAGAACTGGGGCCAAGGCCTGTGTCAGAAGTGAGATCTGGGCTGCGGAGCACCCAAGGGCAGCAGAGCACATTCATCTGTGTGTTCTGGAAGGTCGGCTGTGTCGTCAGACCCATCCGCCAAATCCACAGCCTGAGACGCTAAAGGGATGAATTAGAAGAATCGACCCAAGCCTCCTTCAGCCCATGAGACCCTACATTTCCACACAGACAGCACAAGTTATTAAGAAGGTTAATTGCAAGGAAAGCTCCTTCCACATTGCAAATATTGCCATTCCCTTCTTCTCAGCCAAGCAAGGCCATTGCGTCCTCCTTGGGGTCAGCTCTCCCACTCACCCCACCCCCACCCCCACCCTGGCAACCCAAGTGTTCCCACTTGCTCCTCTGTGTAGATCCTACCTACTCCCTTGAAGTTTTTCTAGGAGTCTCCCGTGCAGTAGATGGTATGGTGAGGGGCTTTGCTGCTGAGCCCCATGGCATCCCCACACTGGTGGTTCTAAAATGGACGCCCCTATCAGACTGAAGGTGCCCTGAGATCAGGGTCCTGTAGGTGGCAAGCCTGCAGTCAGTGTTTTAACATCTGAGTCCCAGGGTTTAGGGCTTTGTGGGAGTGTGGGAAATGGTACAGTCATCTGAATTGAAGCCACCAAAGGCAACCGAGAGTTTTTCCCCAGGGGACCAAGGAGGTTTTGACATATACTGGGTTTCTGACATAGTAGTCACTGGACATATTTTTCACAAGTAAATTACAGGGTGTGATGGTGAATGCCTATTAAATTTCAGGGCTGGGGAGGTGGAGGCAGGAAGATTGAGAGTTCAAGGGCATAGCAAGACTATTCTGAGTGTGTAAGCGAATGGTTGATTGATTGATTGAAAACCTAACATGTAAGTGTTGCTAAAGTGAGTTGCATGTGGTTTCTTCTCAGTCACACGACCAGCTTGAAGTTCTCATGTAGCTAGTGGCTGGTGGCAGCCACTGACTGGACAATGTAGACTCCGGATCCTTCTTACAATGGCTGACAGGTTTTGAGCAGTGCCAAGCCCACTGGCTTGTAAAGTGATTCTGGGTCCTGGCGATGTGTGGATTCCTTCCTGGTGTTTCTGGTCAGATGCAGCAGCTGTCTGCCGCTTCCTTCCAGAGCCTGATGATAATTCCTCCATCTTCCCCCTGACTACAGGATGCACGCCAGAAATTCCGATCTGTCCTGGTTGAGGCGACGGTGAAACTAGACGAACTGGCTAAGAAGATCGGCAAGGCTGTGGAGGACTCAAAGCCCTACTGGGAGGCCCGCAGGGTGGCCAGGCAGGTAAGATGGCTGGAAGGTGTCTGCTCTGCCCACTGCCACCAGTTGCACACAGGGCCGCCTTTTGGTTTCCACATCTCCCACTGAAGGTTAGAAGCACCTGCCCCAGGTGACAAGGTCATGGCTACGCACAAGGATGGCGGCCTTTTATCAGCCTTCTTATACCCTGTCCTCATCGGCTCCATCCAGCTCATGACACCATTATAGAGCGTGAATGCTGATTTGGATGCCCTTGTCACGTGACTTGTGGTGGCTGAAGCCTCTAGGTTGAAGAGCTGGACTCGTGGGCACTGTGAATGGACTCGTGGGCACTGTGAATGTGTCTGGCTCTTCCTTCTGTGTGTTCCTCCTCTCTTAGTGGCTGCCTGTGAGGCACAGGGCAGAGTGACCCTTGGGTAGCCCTTCTCACCTCTCCCGTTAGAGTTTGTGTTTACAGTGAGAGCAGCTCACACACGTGGACTTTGTCTAGGGTTTTACATTCGGAAGGAATCAGATACGGAAGGGAGTAATGGACAAACAAGCGAATGATGGACCTGGGGAGCCACGAGTTGATTCTATGTCCTCTTCTACTTCCCAGACTTAGCATTCTCCCCCGCCTCATCCCCCACATCCCTCCAAACTCCTTCCTGCTCATAGCTGAGTGAGCAAAGCAGTCTGGTTGGTATCATTCAAATCATGCTTGGTGGGTGGGACCCCATCTGGCTACGGCACATCCTGGAGTGAGTCTTACAGCCTTCCTTTTCTGTCACCCCAGTCTCCTTTGTGGGAGGGAGCTGTGTTGGGAGGCACCTCATCTGCTGGGAAGCAGAGGATTGCGGCCTATCTCCTTCGTCTCCTATCTTCTCTTGCCACTAAAGACGATAATCAAGACCTCTGACCTCTTTCCTGGTAGCTGGTAGGGAAGAAAGGCGAGGGTTGGGATGTCCCTGCCCTCAGCTCCAAGGGACCCCAGTCTCTAATGGAGGAACCAGAAGGGTGCACAAGGCTGAGGCAGGAGGATGTTACATTTCATTCTGTGGATGTGGATGATGAGCTGGGACAGACACTGTGAGTGGCCCTGGGACCTTTCTGATAGTAGGAGAATGTCTACCCCAGCTGCTGCCAAGTGGGGCTTCCTGTTTTCTTCCTCTGCCTTGTCCCCACCCCCTTCCTTTTGATATTTGCAAACCCCTCAGCCCATGCCCAGCAAGGGTGGTATCTGAGAGTCCTGCCAAGCACTTCCTTCAAGTGAGCACTGTGACCTTTTGCATCCCATTCTTGAGATGCAGGTGGTCCGGGGCCAACACTGTTCTCAGGATTAAACAAGAGGATGTGTCTGACAGTGGGATCCCTGCATGAGTTTGGATTTCAGTCTCGTTTTTCAAAAAATAATTTATAGTGGAAAACTTAGAACCAGTTTACTGGCTCCTCCTCCTCCCCCTTCTCTATTTTCAAAGGTGGTGTCATGCATCTGAATGCCTGTATCCTCCATCCAGCTTATCATTGAACCCCATCAGGTACTTATAAGGAGAACAACCTTTCCTACAACTTGCTTTTCTGTAGACGTATAGCCACAGGACCAGCAGAATTGTCACCGTGCATCAGAACCCGGCATTGCCTTGCTCCTGATGTCAAATCGTTCTGACAATAAATCAGGCTCATCCTGTGACCCCAAGGCCAAGGCCAAGTACCATGAGGAGCCAGACCATGCCTCCTCCTTTTCTGAACTGGGATGGGGGCAGGGGACTGGCTTTGATTTCTTTGAGAGCTTTTGTATTTGGGCCCAAGCTTGTCTTCAAGGCTGCTCTGATGTCTGTATCCCATGCAGTCAGCACAAGGATGAGGGCAGTGTGGCTTGTGCCTCTGCTTGCTCTGCCCTGTGGGGGGCCTAAGTGCCTGTCGGGTACCATGGGTAGTCCAACGTTTGTTTATCTGTTGTCTGTTGTCTGTTGGCTTTTGTTTTGTTCTCTCTCTCTCTCTCTCTCTCTCTCTCCCTCTCCCTCTCGATCTCGCTATCCCCCCCCCCCCCCCCCCCCCGCCTTGCCAACCATCCTTCTGATTTCTTTCCTAAGAGCTTGGCTGCTCTAGATCCCTCGTAAGCACCCAGTATTGAGGAATGGTCAATGTTTGTGACTGGCTCATTTCATTTGACATCTGTACCTAGTATTCGTCCCTGGTGTGTCACATCAGAGTTCCCTCCATTTGTCTGTCTGTTTATTGAGACAGAGTCTTACTGTGTGGAACCAGCTGACTTCAGAGAGAGCTCCCTGCCTCTGCCTCCTGAGTGTTGGGTTAAAGATGGGGCTCCCTTTCTTTAAAAAAATTCTTTTTACATGAATTTATTTTGTATGTATGGGGGTAGGCCATGGGAGGTCAGAGGACAGCTTGTCGGGATCAGTCCTCTCCTGGACAGTGTGGGTTCTGGGGATCACACTTGGGTAACAAGGCTTGGTGGTCAGCTCCTTTAACCTCTGAGCCATCCCTCCCAAGGGCCCTCTCTCAGTTTTTAGGATGAATGTTATGCCACTATGTGTATAACCACATCGTGTTTGTCTGTCAGCATTGGCAGTCTCGTTATTTTTAAATGTTTGGAATGTGTCAGAAGAGTGCAGAGCCCTTTGTAGTCTGTAAGGACAGTGTCAGCCTGATGAAGTGACAAGGTCAGGAAGCTCAGGGATGCTGCATGTCGGGTGTTTACGGGGCCACGGAAGGCCGTGTTCTACATGTTCTTTAGAAGAGTCCCTAAGGGAGGAAACATTTGAAATTTGTAGAATGACTTGGCTGGGAGAGAGCTGGCAAAGCTCGGCCTGTGAACCAAAAAGCATGGCTTAGAATCCCAGGTCACCAGTCAGCTGTGGGACCTTCAGCTGGTCTCTTAATGGCTGAGCCTTCCTCTTCCCATAAAATGGAGTTGCCTGCTGTCAGCTTTTGCTACAAGTCAAACCACGTGTGACTTAGTGGCTTGAGACACTTATTTAGCTTATAGCTTTGCCAGGCGGTTTGTTTGTTTTGTTTTCCTGATCTCAGGCTTGACTGCTGATATTGTCTGTATGCGGTTGGTTTGCTACAAGTGGCTCATCTTGGATGGCCTTATTTGTTAGATGTTGGTTGTCACCTGGGGTGGCAAGGGTGACTGTCTCTCATTCAACAGGACAGACTGGTCCTTTCACAGGTGTTGGATTTCAGGAGCAGGCAGGGCATGCTCTCCCCAGGCCACTGCTCGACTTGACTTTTGTTGATTGCCTTCTGGCTGGAGCAGGTCCCATTTGTGTGATCCACCCTGGCAATGGAATTAGTATCTGGGAAATATTATTTAGAGAAATGCATTATTATAGATATTTTTCTGTCAAATATTGTATATCTATGATGAACCTGCTGACTTAAGTGATGGGCTCTCCTGGGCTTGTTAAGTAAAGAGCTGGAGGCTCAGTTAGTGCACTGACCACCACACGGGAACAACATAACATCTCTGTGGGATGCTACTGACCAGAAAACTTGGGAGATAGGCATGCTTGAGTAATAGAGGCGAGAGAGCCTGTGGAAATGTCAGGAGAACAGAGGTCTAAGGGAGGAAGTGGTATGAAGTATGAACATGGGTAAGTGTGCGTGCTCAAGGACCTGAGGAAAGAGGCCAGGGGGCCGAAGTACCACTCAGGAAGAAGCATGAAGGGCTAGTGAGACAGTGCACAAGCTGCAGCCCGGTTGGGGCATGGCGGGGGGGCGGTCTGTGGGAAAACACTTATGTGGTGTCCCCACGTGAATTCCCCCGCTATTTTATTTTAGTTTGGTTTGAGTCGGGGTAGCCTAAGGTGGTCTTCTGGGAGCTAGGATTGCAGGTGTGTCCTGTCATGCCCAGGGCTGCAACAGCACCTGTTTGAGCTCTGACAACGTGTTAGTAGTTATCGTGCTTCATGCTTGGTGGTATCATTATCTTCCCTTTAAAAAAAAAAAAAACTTATTTTTGTTTGATGTGCGTGTTTTGCTTGCACATGTCCGTGTACCATGTGTACGCCTTTTTGTCCTTTGAAGTCTCCAGAGCGTGTCAGATCTCCTGGGACTGGTGTTTCAGATGGTTGTGAGCCACCACATGGGTGCTGGGAATCACATTCGGTTCCTTTGGAAAAGCAGTTAAGTGCTGAGCCATCCATCTTACAAGCTCTTCCCACACCACACCCCCCATAAGCCCCCATTTTACAAATGATAAAACCAGTATTGGAGCCTAAGATTGCTTCTTGGGCCTCTGCCCAAACCAATCCCATTTGGAGGCCTCATCCGAGAGAACATGAAGCAGGCTAATGCCAAATGACACAGGAGTTAGTTGTGGTTAAGATTGTGTGATGGCCAGCTTGGCCAATAGGAAGCTGTCAGAGAGCGGGTCTGGCCTGGGTGTTTGAGATTTCTCAGAACAATTAGGTGGAGGTGGGAAGGCAGGAAACTCAGAGGGACAGGAAGATGAAGACAGGATGTGTATAGATTGCCAAGGGTCAGAGGTCAAAGATGGAAGAGAGAGAGAGGTGAAGGCACTTGTTTATACGCCTGAGGAACTTCCTTTTGGAGCAGGCTTGGGTAAGCCTGGGGTAGGTTAAGCTGGCCGTGAGGTACTGCAGTTCTCAGTGATGAGCGGCACTCGGGATGGTATAAATTTGGCTGACCAACCCAGGGCAGACTAAGGAGCCGTGCAGGACACACAGCAGTCTGCGGTGTCTGTAGTTACCCTCTCAGTCGCCTGCCTTTTCTGGGCTAGGATGACTAAAGGTTCCTCCTTTTGTTTTGTTTTACATTCAATGATGTATGTAAGTCTGTCTGTCCATGAGTGTGTGTGCCATGGTATGTAGGTGGAGTGATCTGAAACAACATTCAGTAGTCAATTTTCTCTTTCTACCATGTGGTCCTGGGGATTGGACCCGGACTGTCAAACCTGCTGGCCCGTTCTGCTACAGGTGCTTATTTTAGCCTGAGCCCCTCACTGCACACTTCCCCCACCCTCTAGAACTTCAGTATGGTTTCATCATGTCTCCTTCTTT